GGGGGGGGGGGGGGGGGAGGAGTCAGCTGTCCTCAGGAGGCTTACATTGGGCAGGAAAAGGGGTGGGCGTAGGGGGCAAAATGATCCAAGGTTGGCATACTTTAATATAAGCTGACCATTTACTGGACCTGGAGCATTCAGTTCATTGAGTCTCAGCCCTCACTCATGTCAGATTTCTCTAAATGAGAGAGAATTGGAGATAGAAATTAAAAAGCGGGGAGAGGGACACAACAACAAATAGGCATCGTGCCAGTTGGCCATCTGGAAATGGCCAGTTAAGACCTGGGAATAGTAGGATGTTATCCACAAGCTGCATTTGATCCAGGTGCCACTCCATTTTGTGTGTGTGATGAAATTATTTATATTTAAATATAAAAAGAAATAAAATTATAGAACTGCAAATTTGTATGAAATTTGACACTCTACTGCTTATATGGACTTTTGTGGGGTGGGGAGGGGAAGGGGCAGAAAGAGGTGCTAATTAGAACCTGTCCCCCCTCCACCCCTCAAGAACAAACTTGTCCACATATCAGATGTTAATGTCTAAAGTAAATGATTTCTAGTCCAGATTTATAATTTGAAACTTTTTTAGAAAAATGTTTTTCAGGGAAGTTTCTAGAGTGAAGGTTGTTGTTCATTATTATTTTTAATTTAAGAATGAAGATGTAAAGCTCACCTCATCCCCATTTTTGATTCTTCACCCAAAACTATCAGCACAAAACAGGGTATTCAAAATTAACTTCAACATTTCTCTGGGAGTTAAAACTACTAAATAAAGAAATCTTAATGGGGGAAATAAGTTCTGTTACGATTTCCTACATTCTAGAAACATCCCTGTTTTTTTTTTTTTTTACTTAATCTTTTTGTGCTTTATCTGTGTTTAAAAACTATTGTACTGAGTTATAATGCATTTTATTAACACTATGTACATATTAGCCGCTTTGTGTTTCAGAATGATAGTAATTGCTTTGTATATTAAAGTGATCCTTGTGAATTTGTGAATTATTGTCATAAAGAAGTGCTTTTTCTTACTGTAACCTTTTGTGTATAAACTGTCATAATGCCCTTTTTACACAAACATTTATGTGCAGTCACATAAACATGCTTTTAAAAACTTTACAGTCTCTTTTTTGAGGATGGATGTTCCATTAAACTATAGGAGCAAAGGCAGCTAGGTAGAAACATAGGAATATCTGCATTTAATCAAAATTTTGGTCTATCAAGTCCAATATCCTATCTCCCTCAGTCATAGCCTGCTGTAAGTGGTTATGAGAGAAAATTCCCATTGGGAAATTTATTTTAACTTTCGTTTACTAAATGAAATTAATGGGAGATTAGTTTATGCCATGAAGCACAGCAATTCCT